GTCTTGATATTTAAGACTAACTAATAAAAAATAAATTCTTCCTAGTTTATTTTTAAAAAGAATTGAGTAAGTGCTTAAAAAATGGCCCGAAATTCATGCCCTTTTGAATTTTGTGGTACTTAAAAAATATAATGTCGCCAACAAAAAAATGGAAAAACTTACAGTTAAAGAAACGGTTTAAAAAATGAACACACAAAATGGCTACACAAAGGAATGTTTTTATTGTTGATCAATATTTTTTAGTATTGGTGGGTCATTCCCTGGTCATCAAATTCCCTGTTTTGATTATCAGAACAGACTACATCGGTCAAACGATAAAGAAAAAGTTCGCAACCATCCTATTTAAAAAATATATTAAGGTTTGTGTTTAGAAGTTCCCAACGTCCAAAAAAAATGGAAAAACTTACAGTTAATGAAACGGTTTAGAAAATTAACACACAAAATGGATACACAAATGAATGTTTTTATTGCTGATCAATATTTTTTAGCATTGGTGAGTCATTCCCTTGTCCTCAAATTCCCTGTTTTGATTGCCAGAACTGACTACCAAGGTCAACAGATAAAGAAATAGTTCGCAACCATCCTATTTATAAAAAAAATATTAAGGTTTGTGCCTAGAAGTTCGTAACGTCCAACATTTTGAATGAAAAAATTTATCGTAGATGTGAAAACAACAGAACAACTGGTTGATATGAAATTTTAAAAGTGTCGTACATTTAAAATTTGATTTCTCAAGAACTCTTTGAAAGATTTCAATCAGATTTTGTATACTGTCATTTAAAATTAAATTCATTAAAATGATGTAGCATTTTTATACCTTTCAATTCTAAACTTTATCGACTATTTTTAAACAAAAATAATAAAAAATAACTAATTAATAAAAACTAATTTTAGCGTTAGATTATCTTTGGTTAAACAAATTTTATATTTGGGGACAAAAAATTTTCGATTCGATTAAAATATACTAGAGATAGGATGAAATACGTAAAAAGATCAATATTAACACTAAGGGGACCTAGCAACTTTCAACCCCTCTCCTGACCAAACTATTGGGACAAGATTTTCCAGATTACAACTACCATCCATTATTTTGGGAGTTAAAAATCCAAATCCATTGAAAGAAAAAAATATGATTATTCAGAGAAAGAGCGGTTTTGTGTCTGATTTCGTTATTTAAAGTATCATCTGTTCTAATTAATTAGCATTTTTAATGTTAGGTACTCAAAACCATTAAGATTGAGTTCCAGTACTCATTAACCCTATTGTTAAATTAAAAATTCTTTCCTGTGTTCATTTTTTTTGCACACGATATGCATTAAATATTTTCAAAAGCATATTTTTTGTCTACGTTTTTTATTCACTTTTATTAAATTTTTTATGCACCATTCAAATAAAACTTAGATATTACAATTTCAGTAGGTACACATACTTAAAAAATTAGGCAATCATTGTTTATATTTTCTGAAATTTTAAGAAAATTGTTAACAATGTCTAACTTCCCCCTAATTGCCCTATTTTTTACAATTTTTCCTAACAATTAAAAATTGTTTTGAATTGTAGGAACTGCCCTCAGCAATAATTTCAAGAGTCATATTTTTAAACCTTCATTTTCATTTCTCGGCAAATTTTCAACGGATTCTGCTCGAATTTTAAAAGTTTTCATTTAAATTACATTCAATTATATATATATATATATATGTCCCACACAATCTAGTCACTTTAATGTGAATGTAACCTCCATCTAGTTCCGACGTCAACGCGAAATGACCACTCACTGAAAGTAGGTTGCAGCTGATTGCAATAGAGCGTATATAAAAAGGGTATCCGAGGGTGGAAAGGTGTAAAAGGTATCCGGAAAACATTGGAATTGTTGTCTTAATGCAAAAATATAGAGATTTATCCGACGTCCAAGAGGGCATGTTCATTACCTTTCGGACCAAGGTTGGAAGCATTTCCGAAATGAATAATTTTTCTTAACTGTTTGCATGCCGCCGTGATAAAAGTATACCATGACAAAATGGCACTTTTCAAAATAAGCTACTTGGTAAATGTAGTGAACCTCGGGCCATAGATGACAAAGGTGAACAACGGCTGCTTTCGGGTGGATAGACATGCTATCGTTGAGCAACTGACCACCCACCGAAATCTCGAAACCAAGAGGCTTCCAATAATGCCTTTTCAGTGACGGTTTAGGGTACTTTGCAGCGTATAAGCCTCAGCAGCAGACATGAGGTTACTGCAAATGCACCAATGCTTATTGCCGTAGTCCAGCTTCGTCGCCGAAGGCAGGAATTTACACTCCAATACCGCAACGGGATGCACACTGAGTGGCAACAGGTTACTTTTTCCGAACAATCACGTTTTATGCTCCATCGGGCAGACGGATGTTTGCATAAAACGACATAAAACGATTGAAACCTAACATCCTGAAACATTTGCCGAAAAATCCAAGCTTGAGGAGGGAGCATTATGATCTCAGAAATGTTTACGTGGCATTTTCTGGGTGCACTCATCATTGTGGAAAACATAATGAATAAGCACAAGTACGCATCTGACCTTTCGGAACATGTCCACCTCTACATGCTAAATGTTTTTTCCTCTGGATGATGACATATACCAGCAGGAAAATCCGATGTGTCAACTTTTGCTTCTAGCAAATAGTTTTAGGAATATGGTAAAATACACTATAGTTATTAATATAAGGGGATGCTTCAACTTGATTCCACTCCTAACAAAACTATTGAAACCATTTCTTCCAGATTGCATTCCCCTCCCTCATATGATAGACTTCAAATATACTTATACGTCAGCTATTCAAAAAAGAATTTTTTTCTGTGTCCGATTTTACAACTTAAAACATCGTCAATACTAATTAATTATACATAAGACTTCAACCTAGTATGTTAATTCCGGAACATTAGATAAAAAGTTATTTTAGGCATTTTTTACAACTGCGCTATACTTAGCAAAAATTTGCAAAATATTTTTATTCCAAACACCGATATTGACAAGATATTGTTTTACTAGGAATTGCTCAGAAAATATAAAAGTTGTTATGATTTAAAGTTCGATTTTGAGTTTTACGACTAAATTTCCATTCATATCTTCAATAAAGTGACACTTACTTGCCAATTACTTGTCAAGGGACGATTACTCGAAGTCACAGTCTGATTGTTGCTATTTTAAATTCATATTTCAAAATGTTAAACCCATATTCATTAAAATTTATTATACTTTATAATAAACTAATGAATTCAAATAGTTAATATTTCTTTGCGTAGCTTTTAAAAAATAGTTCTACGTAAACAAAATTATTCCATAATATGAAAATTTAGAAAAAATTTATTATTTTTTCAAAGAAAATTCTCAAAATCCCTTTAAAAAATTGGAGTATTATTTTTTTCTCAACCCTCTTTATAGTTTAAATCTATTTCTTAAAATAATTTTGTACAGGCTTTTAAAAATGTAATAACTGAAATAAAGAAAAATTATTATTGCAATGTCTACACAAAATCTTTAAACTTAGTGCTGAAAATTTTATTCGCAAATAAATTGTATATTTTTCAAACACTCAATGGTAAGTATTAAAAATGAATGCTTTATGATTTTCATCTCAAAATGTTGAAATAATAGCATGTGCTGCTAGAATATAAAATTCTCGCTTCTCTTTTTCTGTTAAAGTAATATATCCACCCAGTTATGAATATTTTTCTATAAAAATTTATATTGGCTTAAATAATTCCATTCGCTTCCTTTAAATAAATCTTTTTGAAGCTCCAGTTACTTTAGGGATACGATTGTGTTTTATTTTTTGATAAATTTCATGACTATTAAAAAACACGTTTTGAAATATTTAAATAAGGACATATTTAACTAGTCTTTGCCATAAAAACGCTATAAAAATTGGACTTCAGTATTTTCTTTTTTCAACTCAGGCATTATCGAAGCTGTTTTTAAGCTCTAACTACTGAAGAAACTAGTCTATAAATTTATCATTTCCAGTTCCGTTGTAAGTAAAATGCAAAATTTAAAATTTTCAACACCAATCGCGTAGTTTTTAGCACTTTTGAGATTTTCGTTGGTTACTGTTTAAGCAGCATGATGTTATCACAGAACTAATAAATTCTTGATGTAATCGTGAAGAAAATAAAACGAATAAAAAGTGAAATTGTTGAAAAACTGTTCTCTGTTCGCATGAAAAGAAAATCCTAAATTATGAGAGTACGTGGAAGCATAAGAAGTATTTTCTTTTTTAAAAGAAAAATTCTTTTAAGGAAATAATAAATCAGGCTGCATCTAAGCTTTTTTTTATTTCTTTTTTACTTCATTGCGCTTCTCGATGCTTCATCCATTTTTTTTTCTTATTCCAAAAACGAAAAAGTAGGGATTATAAAGATATATAGCTTTTAATAGAAACTTATACTTTAAAGTATTGGTTGTATTCCTTTCATCAAATACCCTTTTGAGAATTAAAATTTATTAGTTTTTTTTAATTAAAGTTCAAGATTTTTTTGAGATTACTGCTTTTGCGAGAGAGGATTTTTTTCCTTTTTCCTTTAATAAGATTAAATCTTTCATAGTCTGTGCTGGTCATGAAGCTCATATTTTTATCTTTAGTGATTTCTTTTGAATGAAACGAATAATTAAATTTTAAATTAAGTAATTATTGCCTAAATAAATAACAGCAGATTTTGTCATAAATTAATTTAGATTGCATTTTTCCCCATGAGAGAGGTTTACTATAAATATGATTTAAGAATGATGTAATTTAATACGTAATTATAGAATTACCGTAAAGAAAAAGTCAACTTAATATTCACAATTCCCTACATTTAATTACGTCCAAAAATGATCGAAATTTAAATCATTAAAAAATCTAATTTATTAATCGTCATATCAATGTCATATCAAGATGTTTTTAATATACGTTATTAAAAGCGTAACTGAATAAAACTAATCTAAGATGACCTTGTCATGATAATAGCATGGAAATTATTTACCTGATTCTTTGCAGTAGTTCCACCCCTTTTAGATAATATCTTCGACATTGAATCATCAATGAATAGCTTTGCAATCTTTTTTTTATTTTTTTACTCAAAATATATTTGAATAGACTTTTGCTGATTCTAAAAGAAATATTTGAGTAAGATAAAGTTTAAATGATTGTTCTTATTTTGCATACACTTTAAAAATTATGCCAAGTATTTAAATTCATCAGATTTTTCACTGTATCAATTGTTTTGTTATAAAAAAAATAGCTTCAGGATGCTTTTCGATACTTAGAATTTGAAGTTCATAGAAAGAAAAAGAACTTTTATAAGATAATATATTGCTAAAATTTCTGTTAAACATTTTATTTTCTAATTAAAAAGCATTGCTTTTTTATTTCCCAAGCAGTAATTATAAAATATCAAAAAATCACAGAAATCTTATAAAATAGTTAGTACATAAATTTTCAGAAAATGCTTTTCCGTATAAAATTACGAAAATTCATAATATAAGCTAATTCATGTAGCAAAAATACAGTTTATTTTCTATAATAAAATCCTTAAAAATCTTCAATTTCCATTCAATTAACTGAAATAAACACCGCTTCATAGAAGATCATCATTTTTTGTTTAAAAATACATTGAATACAAAAACTAGCTTTTATTTTTTGAAATTTCAAAATATAGCCAATTATTATTTTTGGCAGAATTATTTTAGAAGATTAATTGAAATAATCTTAAAGATTAGATACGAAGTTCAAGAAGCGTCATCTGAATTTTAACCAAAAGAAAAATAGTTATATCATTAAAATTTAATTCGTAAGCTCATTTTAACACATCATTAACTCTTCGACAAAAAATAAATAAGCGCCAAAAAAGGAAAGTTAAAAAATAAATATGTGTAATAAAATACTTCCTGTTTATATCCCAAACGAGATTTCATTACTAATTCACCTACCACCCAAGGTAGATTTATTAGTAATTTAGCAAAGAACATCACAATGAAAAAGGTAACTTAAAGAGAAGTATTATTTCTGTTTTCTCAGTAACATTGGCTCAGCGTTGAAATATAATGCAAGCACCTTGAAGCAAAGTTTCTGATACCATAATGAGATGCTTAGTTAAATTCTCGTTCAGTTTGAACCGCAACATCGTATAATCAATTTCAAGAGAAATTAATTCGCAAGAAAAATTAATTCAAGCCTAATAAAAAGAAAAACAAAAGTGTTACTCTATAAATGTCTTATACGATCAGTACTTACATGCGCATGTGAGACCTGGACAATGACCCGTGGAGATAAAAATATGATAGCTAGATTTAAGAGAAAAATACCACGAAGCATTTTTGGTGGAATAAGTAAAAACGGTACCCGGTTTAGAAGATCAAACACGGAACTTTACAAAGCATATAAAGAACCTGATGTCATTAAATTTATCAAAATTCAAAGGATTAAACGGGCAGGCCACATTATAAGAATGGAGTATAGCTGGACAACCAAAAAAGTTTTCAGTGCCAGGCCAACAGGTACAGGAAAAAGAGGACTGCCAAACCTAAGGTTTTTAGACTGCCCTGAAAAGGACTTACAAGTTTTAAAGATAATAAACCGGAGAACCTTGGCTAAGGGAAGAATGTCTTGGCATAGACTTGTTGAGAGGGCCAAGGCTCATCCTGGGCTGTTGTGCCAGTGGAAGAAGAAGAATATTTTTCAACTTAGCATGATATTACGGTTCGACGCGTTTCAAAATTTCTAACAGTGTATGTTAATTAAGAACCAAAGCAAACTTCTCAAACCAAAAAAAAAAAAAAGAATTCGGAAAAAATATTAAATTAGAGTACCCGTTGACTGAGTGATAGCACATCGCACTCTTGCGTCACTGGTTCGGGGATCAAACCAGGAACCATCAGGGTTTCCTCAGTCTTTCATTCCTTCAGTGGGTTGACAAAATGAGTATCAATCATACTTTGGGACTAAACACTGGGTATTCCGTGTTTAATTTTATTTTATAACCGTCGTTGAACAGCCGACCCAATTTTGTGGATTTACGACTACTAATGTTCAACTCCGTAGTCTTGTAATTTAAAACCCAATCCAGAAGACAAGGAAACTCCTGGATCGAGTATTGGGAAAAATTTGCCTTCGTGGAGGCCTTTTTGATGGAGCCAACCCGCATTTGCGTTACATGGAGAGGAAGACCACGAGAACCTCCCACGGTTAACCTGACGGCAAGGGGACTCTAACCCATGATCCGCCTACCACTGAGGATATTTCACGTCAGTGCTGTGGTCAGTGCAAGCCGGATGCGGATTTCGTATCGACAGGATTCGAACCCGGTTCGCCTCATTGGAAGTCGAACACTCGCGCCACTGAGTATGGTAGTTTAAATAGGGTTAATGTGAATCGTTTTATAAAATGAACTATATGAGATTGTAAATTTATTTTGTTAAAGTGAAATTGCATGTATTGAATATAATCCAATGCTTTCAAAACCCTTCTAGTTTTTTGTCATCATCATTTAACTGTGATTAAGAATCAAAAAAATTCTCCTTAAACCAAAAAGTGAATTTGGTATAATATATCAATTTTGAGTATTTTAGCAACTGCGCACAGTGTTAAAATTTTCATTTTAAAATTATAGTAAAATAACTAGCAGCTGTCTGTCCATCCGATTAACCATAAAAATTACGGTAAAGACCATTTTTTCGCTTTATGGTTCTGAAAACATTTACAAAAAGTAAAGTTATAAAACCATGAATACAAAACTATACAGTTTTTTAACCATTTACAACTAGCAATTTTCATAAAAGTAAAAAATAATTAATTATTAACTAGACATGGGAGTTCGGCATTCTGTAAGGTAATAGGCATTGGAGAGTGCTGGACACTAGAAATTCTTCATGTGTTGAAGGGAATGGAGGAAATATTGTGGTGTCAACACTAGGACTCGAACTCCAGTTCTGCCGGTGATGAGATTGACAGATAAGCCCGCTCGTCTATGATATGTACTCTGTTGCAAAGAATTAAGTAGCTTCATTAGGTGGTTCTAGTTGGTGAGATAAGATTCTGGTTGTTTAACCGTATTAGGTGAAAGCAGTTAATAAACAGTAATACTCANTGATTACCATTTTATTTATGGTTATTTGACTGTTTTGATTAAATATGGTAAAATAACCATTCATTAAATTGTTATTCAACCATTTTTTCCGAGAAATTTCTAACAGTGCACAAGGCAGAGGGTTAACACGAAGGGAAAAAAAACTAAGGGAGTTGCAAAAATTTATTCTAAGATAAAAAAATTAAAGTATGTATTTTGCGTACCATATGATGCTTTTAAAATTTCTCTATTTTTTTATTATCATTGTTAAGCTTTGATTAGACGAAATAAAATCGCGAACATTTCTGCACTCTTTTAATAACTCAATAAACTTTCCGATATATCAACATATATAGTAAGAAAACAGCATTCAAAAACAGTAAGCTTCAATGTCAAACATATAAAATAACTGCTCCAAAGAACACAAAAGAGCGTTATCAAAGACCAGAAGTATTACCGACATAGAAACATGGGGTGTAGTGGTATAATGAACTACGCCGTTGTTTTAAGTATTTACTCTAAGAGTACTTGAAACACTTCATTTAAGATCTCATTCTAAGCGAATTCTTTAGAAAAATTCGCATTTCGAAGTGTCTAAGCGTGTCTTTTGAAGCACGGAACTGTTTAAGAACCCTAAAAGACTTTAGACACGCTATATTTCGCTTTTTTTTTCTTTTTTTTAATAAAAGAGTCGTGAAGAGACTGCATTAAAACTGAAATCACACAAGATGCTTATTTCTTCCATTCAACACAGCATATATAGTTCTCTGGAAACAAAACAAAACACTTCTTTCTTCAGCACATTCGTAAATTAAAAAACATAAACTGCTAAGTTTTCATAACACGTTTGTCCTAATGACGATTAAATCTGTCATAAATATTCCTGAGTCCTAAATAAATTTTATATTTCATATTTTAGAAAGGCTGTATTTAAAAGGAAATTACATATAAAGCTTATTTTCCGTCAATTCAACACAGCTTATATTCTTCTTTCAAAACAGTACAAGTCTTTCTTCATCATATTTGTAAATTAAAAACATAAAATGTTAAGTTTTCATAACAAGTTTGTTTTAATGACGATTAAATCTGTCATAAATATTCCTGAGTCCAAAATAAATTTAATCTTTCATATTTTGGAAAGGCTGTATTTAAAAGGAAATTACATATAAAGCTTATTTTCTTCGTCAATTCAATACGGCTTATATACTTCTTTCGAAACAATACAAGTCTCTCTTCATCATATTTGTATATTAAAAACATAAAATGCTAAGTTTTCATAACACGTTTGTTCTAATGACGATTAAATATGTCATAAATATCGATAGGTTTTATAACGACATTAAATATGTAAAACATATACATGAACTCTTAATTAATTTGATAATTATATTTAAGTTGCCTTCCTAAAAAATATTTTAATTATAGGTAATTTTATAATTATAAGTAATTTACTAATTATAATTAATTTGCCTTTCTAAAAAATATATTATGAAATACATTTTTTTAAGATAAAAGTATGTATTTAAAATGAAATTACGTAAGAAGTTTATTTTTTGCAATTCATCACAATATTGTTCCAAAACAACCCTTTCCTCATCACGTATGTGAAATAAAAAGTAAATTAAATTATAAGTTTCGTTCTTAACTAAGACTATTAAATTTGTTATGAATATACATGTTTTTTTAAATAAGCTTAATTTTAAAGATTTCAGAAAAGCAAAATAGTGGGAAATTAATTTTAAAAAAAAATATGCAGTATTTTCCTCAACATTACAGAAAACGAAATAAAAATATTATTTGAAAACAAGAGTGTAATTGAAAAGTAATATGACTTTTTTTCGTTCACATTTTTTTCATTGCTGTTTTATTATTTACCCTAAGAAAAAAAGTGTGACCAAATCTACCTGAATATGGTAAAATTAATATGCTTCTCACTCTATAGAAACACCAAAAAGCTTGGTAATTTTTACCCAGGTGCTTTGGTAATGATTTTGGTAAAATTAACAATAAAATATGGTTTTATAATACGCGATAAAGTTTGGTAA